GAAGGCGGCGCTCGCTGAGCCCGCGCGGAAAGCGGGCGCCGCCGAATTCCCGCGCCGAGCAGGGCGGGCGGAGCGGCCGCGCTTAGAGACGCTCCCCGCCGATGCGCAAGCAAGGGGAGCCGCGGACAGCGCAGAGCCGGTCCTTGCAGGGGCAGGCAGAAATTAACACGCGCACGGGAAATAGGAGCAGTGCGCCCCGTAAACGGCAATTCTTTTCAAACTCTGCAAACCAGAAACGGAGAAACAGCGACCGGATGGCAGGTTGCTGCCGACGCTCCTTACTGATTTTCTTGGGGAGGGGCCCTGCTGGGGTTAGCGTCCTCACCAGCCCAGGGCTTCCACACCGGGGCTTCTGCAAAATTAGCAGCTGCTCCCGTGTGAGAGCCCGTGTTCTAAACTGCCGTCGTAGCCTGCATGCGCCCCGCAGAAAGATCAAAAGATCGCGCCAACGCTGCCCCTTCTTTCTCAGAGAGAAACTTGTGTCGTTGTGAGCTCCTCATTGCGAGTCCGCGGGAGAAAAGTTCAGTTCTCACCGCTGCCGGAAATGCGGTGGTTTTCTTTCTAAGTGGATGCAGAGCTACGAGCAGTTGGAAAGGCGCTACTAAAATTTCTTGTATTTTCCAGTGTTCAGATGCAGGCTGTACTGTCAGGTGGGGCTGGGGTTCTACGTTCTCCCTGGAGAATTTTCATCTTTGTAATGGCCCAAGCTAAGCTGCTCCCAGATTGTTCAACAACTGCCTGTGACAATCGCCGAGTCCTTTCTTATTTCTTCCAAAACGTTAATTAGCCAGACAGTTAGAGAACATACACATCAATAGCAAACAGTCATCAGTTATGGTTACATGTCAGGACCCCGGGGAGTAACGACTGCCTGACAACTTCTCTAAAAGGTAGGAGAGTCTTCCTTCAGAAGGAGGACAATTTTAAACACCAGTTTAACTCTTAAACTTCTAAAATATATGCCTGCTGCTCACTTTGCCTTTGCAAAACATTTTGAAAGCAACTTGTTACTGTCTCCCAAAGATAACGTTTACAAAAGGTAACGTTGGTATCAAGAACATAAGAGGATTAAATAATGAATATAACTTTAAAAAGAAACATTTTCTCACCTTGACTGTTCTTCCTTCCCAATATTTTTGTTTTAATGTATTTAAATACCTAAAATGAAGGAGTATGCAGCAACAGTGTCAATAATGCAATCTATAGAAACATAATCTGATGGAAACTGGTACCTTCAAACTAGTTTGTCTTATGATTAAACGTCAGATATACAAATAGAAAGTATTAATCTGGGGAGAAAGAGAAATCTGAAGACTTCATTTGCTATACACTTAATTGTAAAAATTGAAAATTAAATTATTATAGTAACTATGTCTACCTTAATAATTTTGATTGTACTAGGTTCTTTAATTTTCATAGCCAAATACTGAAGTAGGAAAAAGCAATCAGGGTTTGTACATAAATTCCTATTATGAGTAGATTTACGTAGGTTACATTTCCCGTGGCACATGCAGACTGCTATTGTGGTAGAAAAATCATATCAAACTGCTAAATATACACTTTTGCAGGAAAAGTTAACAAGGTAGATGAACTTGATCAAATTAAAAGATAACATGGCAAGCTAGGGGGCCCACTACATAATTACTTACATTTTAGGGGGGTAGTTTAGTTTCTAATTCCTAATTATTACAGATGCTTATTTTTCTGTTCTACAAAGAACAATGGTGAGTTTTGACTTAATAGTCAAGCATCTTCACCATAACTTAATAATGCACCCTCAACTTTTAATGTTATCTCTATTAAAACCTTTCCTTGTCACAAATTAAAATCCACATGTGCATAGATGACTGTTAAGGAACTTCAGTGAGGCTTACCAAATAGAATAGTAAGCTCAATTTAAAAGCTATTTTTGTAAGTGAATAAACACAATTAAGATAAATGTTTGCTTTTTGCCTATGGCATGTATATTTCTACCTTTTCTAATGGATCAGTCGTGTTTAAAGACGCAAAGAGCCGTGGAGCCTGGCAGCTGGTGAAGTGACACCCAGCCTCGCTCTTCACACCCGGAGGCTTGCAAACAGCGTGCTTTCCATTGTCAAGACCGCCTGTGCTCACAACCGAAACACGGAAGCTTTAGCTTAAGTGTGGCGTGATATTATACTCCCATTAGCATTAAATACAATCGAAAACACGGTTCTGCAAATGAAATTCTTTCCTCTAGAAGGTAGTCTTGGTCATTTCACTACAAGGCAGTGCTGTGTATCTTCAAATAATCCAAAAAAGAAAAAAAATTAGTCTCACAGTGTGACTCTCAGGAATTAACTGCTAGCTTCCTGCATTTCTGTTAACCAAACTTTAAAAAAGATACTAGGAATAAGTCTCCCGTCTACCTGTCTCACTTCTGTTGTTTTTTCTGGACCTGGTATTGTACAGTTTTGCATTTTTTCCATGTGTAGCTTTTTAGCTGGAATTTCCTTTTACAAATTATTTGCAAATTATTCCCATTTTCTATACAAATAAGAAATGCCAAAATTTGACTTTTATATGAGTGAAAGACAGGCAGCTGAAAACAATAATAACTGTGAGAAGGACGGGAAAACAATCTCCTTTTTTCATATATAACAAAGCAATGTCCATATCCTATGTAATTTGTGAATGACAGCAGGTCGTCCTGCTTCTATTCCATTCAGGGACCTTGAGAAAATCTAGCACTTGCAGGTTATGGAGAGTGACTGTTACCTGCTATCACTAAGTACTTGTGTATTTCACGGCTCACAGAGAGTACTGCGATTGCCTTTTATCTTCTAGCTCTTGATAGAATTATGCAAGGTGATTATGCAAGCCAAATCTATTATGTGTTGATATGGATAATATCTGCTTGTATTTGAAAAGAATCTTGTGTGAATATTATAAAAGTATACATTTTATCCCAAAATAGTAAAGGTTAAGGTTGAAGAATTTTTATTAGTGTCAGCTCAACCAGATAGTCTAACAAGTAAAACTCTTCAAAGACAGTGTAGTTCATGAAAATAAATTGCTTAAATATTTATCAATCAATCTTTGAACCAGAGATAATGCCAGGATAAAATATCTAAGGAATCTCATACATATGTTGTCATTTATTAAACTGATGCATGTTTTTCTTTCTTTTATAAGTATATTTGTCCCTCCAATAAAGCTGTGCACTGGTATAAAAGGCATTTTGCAGATAAAATATTTTTCATATTTCCTGTATGACTATATACAATGTGTGAAATGACTACAGTTTCTGGAAATTAAAAGAAAAAGTCTCTTTCAAGGCAAATATAATTAGAATATATATTTGGAACCAACACAAATTTAACCAGTTCCTCACGGTACATTGAAGAGTAGAGTTATAGAAGATGTATGTTGATTTACCATAAACCAGAAAGAAGGTACTGTTGAGAACTATTTGAAATGCTATATATAAACAATCATTTAATAAGTCAGTTAAGTTGAATTGGAGCATTGGCAAATGATATGTGTGAGGAGATGGGTCATTTGATAGCAAAAAAAGTTAACACTTAAAATTTAGATGCTGTTTAGAACGGTTGCTTATACAGAGTTTCAGGAAATTGAAAATGCATTTCGAGAACAGTAACACAAGGTAGCTTTATAAAAGTTAAGTGATGGATCACAAGAAGGTAGTGGAGAATAAAGTAGGTTGCTGAATATTGTGAAATGGAAATAAAAAGTTGGCAAAAGGGATGGAATAAGTAGAGCAGCAGATGGATGGCAGACGCGGACTTGTTGTGAGGTGAAATTCCATGAAAAATTAATGAATAGAAGGATTGTGCTCCGGGGTGAGGGTACAGCGGCTGTGTGGGTCTCTATCCCCTGCAACGCCAGGGTCAGCCTTGCTGCTCTCACCTGGCTAGCAAGGAATACAGCTGTGTTATTCCACCAGCTCCAGCCGCGACACCTTTTGCTTACCTCACTCGCTGACAGCTTGAGAAGGACTAGATTTAATGGTAGAATCAAATTGATTAAACCGTTAGCCAGCATCTAATTGTGTGGGGCTTTCTTTCTTTCTTTCTTTCTTTCTTTCTTTCTTTCTTTCTTTCTTTCTTTCTTTCTTTCTTTCTCTCTTCTTAAAATGTATATTAGTGCAATGATTTATAGTGACTCATGTAATAAGAGTAATTTGAGATTGTTTCATGGGTGTTAGATATGAGGAATGAGCTTGAATTTAGAATATAAATATGGGATTAACGCATCCACATCTAAACAGTGGTGACTGTGGAAGCGCCGACCTCAGATCATTGTGTAAGGAGACATGGAACAAGAAATTTTAATTTTCTGTTTTGAGGCATGGAAAAGTAACTTATGTTTTGAGAGAATCCTGTGCTAAATTTAAAAACTGCATATGTAGATGATATATCTATGCATACATGTGTTACTGTTCATGTGTATTTGTATATGTGCCATAAAGATAGCTAAGCATGAGCCATTTTTATACCTGCCTACTTCTTTTTTCTGAAA